CACTTTAAGTATTTAAAAAAAAAATAATGTTAGAAAGGATTAAAAGTCTCTTTTCAAAAACTCCATTTATTAAACACAGTTTTCTATTACTTTACAAATTGTAATTTTTTTTAATTACATTGTACATGTTATAAAAAAAAAAAAAAACGTTATTAGAAGAGGGACTTATGAATACTTTTACCATTTTTTTTTTTTTTTTGTTTAAATATTTTATATGTGCTTTTTTCAGTAATTTTTCGGCGTTTTTAAGCACTTTCTTGTGAATTTTAAGGGCAATAAATCCCGATTTCTATTAATAAGTATACAAAAATCACTCTGGAAAAATGATTAAGTACCTACATAAGAAATAAGACGTATTAAAGGCTTATGATTGAAGTAAAAAAGTAATAACGTTCACCAAATTTAGTTAATTGTTCGGTTCTTAAATATGCACAATCCCTTTAAATTAAAATAGTATAAAATTCGAATTCAAAAATTGTTGTGAACATGATTTTTCTTTTTTAATATTTAATATATAAATGAAACGCAAATTTTAACCGAAAAAATCTATTTATAATTTTTTTTTTTTAATTGATACAACACCACTATATTCGTTTGAAAATTTTGATCAAAAATATTTTCAATTGTAAATAGGTATATAATATACTTTTTACGAAAATACACAAAGAGAAAGCATAATTTTTTAATTACCTTCACAGTTCACAGGTATATATTTGATTTTTCATTTTTTCACTGCTAATCAAGTCTACGGTTGTTAAAAATCAAGGATTTTTATAATGTCGCCGTTAATTTGCATAATATTATATATTTCACCAGTAAAAAAGTTCAAACGATTTCTTTTGAATATTAATTTATATTATAGTCCGTAAATTGACGGTGTAATCAAATTTTTGATTAAATTAGTAAAATTATTGAATGAACTTTTTATTTTGTACTTGTTTGTGTGAGTACAGAGCCTTTTAAACCGAGGAAAAGTCTGATAAATTATTATGGCCTATAGTTCTTCTCTTTCTTTCCTTTGGGATATTAGAAAAAGTAGACACTGATGTTGATTATATACATTTGAGAGGGAGGTAATTTTCGAAATTTCCCAGAAGATTTCTGGTAAATCGACGAAAACTACAAAAGGGGGGGGGGGTATTTTCAACTTGCGACAAAGCCGTTTTAAACGAAATTAAATTGGATTATGTAATAATCACAAAATGTACAATATTAATTGAAACGACGAGGTACCTATTAGTTTTAATAAACTCTATTTGTAATCTTTCTTTTACATTTAAAAAAATTAAAAAAAATAAATAAATACTTTCGACAAAATTATCGAAGTCGAGCGCTCAACCCAACAGCTATATTAGGTATAGATACACCGAACTTGAGCTATAACCATAGTTTTCTATTAATTTCATATTTATTTGAAATTCTTTTTGAAAATATCATCCCAATAGCGTTCGAAATAAAAACAATTCTCTATATAACTAATATATTTTTAGTTTTTTAAAACGTTTAGAAATCGATATGATAAGACCCAACCCGCGTAGTTGTCCAATAATTTATTTTGCAATGTTATTTTTCATACACCGATATGACATGTTTAATACCTATTCACATTTACCCCGTTTTTGTGCAGTTTCCAATACGCAGTAAATAATGTAAGTTAATGCGTATTTGTATGCGGATATATATGCGGGTACATATCTAAAATATTTGGATTGAACTTATATTTTATTTTGTCATAAGAAAACCATGTGTTGTCTGACGAGTGCCATTTCTTAATGTTTTTTGAATTGTTTTTCTTTGTTTTTAATTCGGGATTTTTCTATTGTGCTTTTGATTTCCCTTAGTTTAGATTTATTTATTTCTTGTCATTGTGCATGCCAATTGGTTTTAATTTTATCATTAATTTTTTTTCAATGTCTATTATATTGTGATTTCAATTAGTGGCGCGTTTACTAGTTCTATTACCTTTATAGCTTATTTGTCTTGTTTTTTCGTACCCTTCTGTATCGTAGTGGTCCGGTATATAAATCATAATTTTATGTTCATTTTTAAGTTACAATATTGTTTTTTCTGTATCAAATTTGTCATGTCTACATAAATTATAGTCCATAAAAAATTCAGTGTAAAAAAAAAAATTCAGGGAGACTAATGCTGTTTTTGAGCTTATATGCTTAGTGATTTATTTAACTGATTTGAGGATAGATTTTGCTTTATAGATGGAACATTCACCGGAAGTTTATGTCTGAAGAATAAGAGGTTTAGTGGATTGGTGAAATTTAAATTTTACTTTAATGAAATATATTATGAAAATTCAAGAATACGTATCTGCTGCAATTTAAATTTAATAGACTAGTGATTTCGGTTTTTTGTTCCTCCTGAGCAATTTTAAATTTTTAGTCACATAATATTGCCGTGACATATTTTACTGGATTCGACTGTTAATATAATATTATGTAATAATGTAATGCACAGCTAATATATAATTTATATGATATTCCGTTTACCGACCTATACGTAGTTACAAATAATCCTAATATTCCGTTGACCGTAATTTGCAATTTGAATTACCAATACGATTAAACGATTTTGATTAATACTTTTTGTAAACAATTTGAAATAAAAATGCATTCGTTCGCAATTATAATTTATTATAGTATATCATATAAGAGGAAACAGCAGATTATTTTTTTTTTGCCGTTTCGTTCTAATTAAAAAAAATAATAATAATATTTTCGTGAAAATTAAATTTGCCTGAAGCCTCGTATGGTAAAATAATAATATTATATCTGCCGGAATATGCAAAATGAATATGCAACATTCATAATCCCAGGAACAGAGATGTAATAAAAAAAATAGTCTTTCTGTAGTTTTCTTAAAATCCGGAAATAATTATTATACCGTGTAGTGAATGTTTAATGTTCAACGTATATTTTGAATAATTTATAAATATTCTCGTTAAAATTTGAAAATTAATAACAAGTAGGTACCTGACTACAGAATGATTGAGCAAAATTCGCGCAATCGTGTTTATTTTAATAACCATTGAAATAAATACACGATTGCGCAAGATTTTACATACAACGTTGCCATAACGTATTAGTTATACGACCTCAGTGTACGGCATAACGACAGTTCATAAAATAAATAATTATTTTGCGCATTTTAAGATGAAAATGGTATGAACATTGATAATAATTTTTTGTGGGTAAGTTAAGGTTTTACACAGAACGCGGTTTGTAATCTATGATATTATAGTAATATATATGCTTATACACGGTAACGTTGCATTTGAAATTTTGCACAATCGTGTATATATGAATACAAAATTTACGCAACCGTGTATGTATTTCGATGGCTATTATTAAATACACTATTGCGCAAATTTTGCTCAATTGTTCATCACCTAGGTGCCTACATATAGACATTTGTACGCGCCGTTTGGGTATAATTTAGACGTTATCAGATGATAAACCCGTCGAAAACGGATGCCACTGTCAACGCGTTAATAATTAGAATGAAAAAATATCCACTTTGACGTGTTACGGATATAATTATAACGACGTATACAGTCATTTGACTATATTTCGACGATTCACCTCGTTTGAAAACCTATGAAAAAAAAACAGGTGTACCTAGAGTATAAGGTGAAGATATACAACGGGTAAAGTATATTATGAGCAATAAATTTAGAATTCGTATGGAACTATAACAACAGGAGAAGGAAGTGGAATAAAACATCGACCGTCCAAATGTTGACGTTTACGATAAAACTCGACCCAGTGCGATCAGCGTAAAAGATAGCCACGAAAAATACGAGCAAAACGGAGTAGGTATAGGTTTTTGTAGGTGTAAGGGGGGACAGTAAAATAATAGTTGTTGTTAGCAACAAATTTATTGCGATTCCCGAGGGGCCCGAACCGCAAAAACACCGTATTTCTGCAATCCCGGACGATTACTTATATGTTAAGTATCGGCAAAAATTCGCTTACACGGTCGCGTATTGTATTATTGTGCAATGGATTTTATTTCCGTCCGGTAAACCATAACAAATATTTTATATTATTTTGTATTTAAAAGTAAACGCCCAAGACTGGCATAGATCAGCCAAACCCACCTATTTAAATTGAAGAAGGATTCGTTAAAAAAAAAGCACAATAAATAACTGAATACCTATAATATTACAATAATACAATAGTACTATACTTTACTAATATCACTTCTCAGCAAATAGTGAAATTTTAACATACAAATGCCTTGGGTGAGAGTAAAAAAAAAACATAAAAAAAAAATCCAAAGCCATATGTTAGTGGATTTAATCATTTGGGTAGAGGGGGGGCGAATTTGTAGAAGTTTCTAAACTAAAAAAAACCATCTTTTTCTTATGCGACAATGCGATCAAATTCCTATTCAAATCTTATCACTTCGCAATCTGCCTTTAAAAAACAACTTTAATTTCCGATTTTAAGCTTATTTGGCCCAGAGATAATCTCTAAAAGTGATCGAAAATAACGAGAAAAATATAAAACCGATACAGAATAATTTACAATAAATAAAATAATACTCTTTGGATTTAGAGAAAATTCGTTTGTAAAACATATTATCACGCCAACATTGTCTATTTACATCCCATTTAACTTGAACTTCTCAAATATTCCCAATTACCACACCCCACCAGTGACAGCATTTCTTATATACACAACACACCAATAATATTATATTATTATAAATATTATAATTAATATTTAATATTTCGTTACAAATTTAAAAAATTCGGTCATTTAGCATTTATTTTTTTACGGACATACTGCCGTAAGCCGAATCGTTTACACTACAAGACCAGTAGACTTCACTGTGCATTCGTTTGGATACGAAAAACCTACTTGAAAAATTCCCCGGTGGTTACGTGGCTCGTACGAGACCGAGCCCGGGATTTTAGCTCGGTATACACAATCTCAAACACAAACATGAGAGAACAACGTACGTATAATAATATATGAGACTCGGCCCATCATCGCGTACGTACATGTGTACTTTCCGAATATTATTAATCCGCAAAACAAACAACCCGTCGTCGCCGCCGGAAGTGCATACCTCATCGTGATAATCGCAGGATATGCAGAGTGGAGGAAACGTATATGAGTGGGCAATGTTATTGTTGTTGCGCGAGAAACACTGAAAGTCGGACAAGCCACTGTCATATCCGAGTTCGTCGGCGGCCTATAATACACTACGCAACAATTTCGTTTTCTTGAACAAACAATCGGACTCACGGCGGGGTGGCGGGAAAATAATACAACTGCCCCTCCCTCCCCTCAACTCGTCGACGCCGAAAATTCGTTTAGTCGAACAAGTCTCGAATGGGACAGGTAGTTTCTGGAAAATCGTATCGCATGGACGAAATATTAATAATTCCTTCGGCGAGTAGATAGCATATAGTTATTATTGTTCGATTCGGTGGCGTGTACGGGTATGACGGGGGGGGGGGAGGAAGTAGGAGTAATTCGTCCGCTGGCCTAAAAATACCACGACTATAAAATGTATTGTGTGTACTATATGAATATAACAAGGAAAGGCTCGAATTATTGAATACAAATAGGTAATTTTTTTTTTGGATCAGGCTTTTATAAATGTTCACATCACCAGTCGGACTAGTTAGGCATGGGGAAAGATTCTATAATTAATTCATGACAATTATATCCCGACCCATTTAAAACACCCTGGATACGCCACTGGTCATAAGGACAAATAGCGTTTGAGATTTGAGGGGCTGAAATCTTGAATATAGACCAGGATACTGGGGTGTTTACGGAGGTATACAGCCGTAAACAAATTGTGTTTGATACCTAATCTAACCTAATTACAATATAACTAAACAATAAAACTTATTACATATGCAAACGTACTATTTCAACTATTGTCTCTAATAATTGAATATTCTCAGTGTTCAGAACTACTCATTATTATGTACAAAATGCATTACACATATTACACACGTATAAATACTTCGGTGTTGTTAAATTTTATTAACTTTCATTATGCTATTAAAAGTATTCAATTCAATGAAAGTAAAACAAAATTAAACAAACAAGTTTTTTGGGGGGAGTACTATTAATATTTTCCAGGTATCTAAACTCCAAAATTCTTCTCCCTATTCGCTTTTGCGCCACCGGTTAGATTTGAAACGTTTTACTCATAAAATAACAAAACTACCAATTTATAGAAATGATAATAACGGAACAGCGGTTTTTGATGGTTTTTATGACAGAGAAAGTGACAGACACCGCCCAACTGCGGGACTTCTATGAAATCGGATACTTATCAGTACTTTTTAATTAAATAATAATGCTCGTAAAACAATAAATTAATTTCATTTTTTGTGTACATATCTATATTATATAATATGATATATTATACTCATTAAAAATGCTGCTTTTTTGTTTTCGAAAGAAAATTAATATTGTTTTAAAAGTTGCCAAGTATATATATGTTTTTTTTTTAGTTTTTAATAACATTAAGGAGCTTTTATGAAATGCAATAAACACTTTCCTATATACGTAGATAGGTACTTATATTATGTTCTTCTGTTAATTAATTTTACTCGATAATAAAATAATTATTAATAAAAAAAAAATAATATTAAATAAAAGAAAATCGCTTCGCGTTTTAAATGTTGAAATGTGATCCGCTCTGTTAAGTCACTTTGACGACAACATAATCACTCTGCTGCAGTTTTGAGTTGCAGACTATCGTGTTCGCTAAAAACACAGCGAAAGAAGTCGATCGTAAAAAGACGAAATGGAAAACCGGTAAGACGGCTGGTGGATATTGAATGGCTCAACAGTAAAAAAATATATTATATATAAAAGTACATCTATTGTCTACGTTTCCACGGAAAAATAACTAAAGAAAAACTGAAAAAAAAAATAAAAAAAGGTTTGACAAGACGGCGGATGGTGTGAAAACGTACATGACTGCGGGCGCGGGGAAGTTTACACTCTCCCTCTACGCCCCGATTGTACCGAAAATGAGACGGTGTACATCGGTATGGTTTACCAAAAAACAACGTAAGCTCTGCAAGTACAACATTTCGTTATCGCAACACCTATACTCGTATACACCTATAATACATAAATAAGTGTGACACGTGAGACGCCATTATCGAAATATTTAAAACAAAATATTACGTATACCCATATATTATTATTTTTTTTGTCAAGAGCGCTATTATTAATACGCGCCCGAAGGCTACGCGAGTTATGTGATAAAAAAAAAAAAACATAATATTAGTCGAATGTGTACGCGGAGAAAAAGGGCCGTAAAAAATGCTACCGTGAAAAATCGATAGATACCAACACTACTGTAGGAGGTACTCTGCAGACTTACGACTTACGTCACATCGGACGATAATACGAACGGAGAAATTAATTTTTTCTTCCGTTTCTAAATTGAAAATCGACGCAACAAAAAACTTGACCAAAAACAATAAAAAAATAATAATGATCATTATCATAAAAGAAGAGCGATAATATTGCGTCTAACTATAACTCATCAACTGTTGTACGCGGTAAATGACGCGATTCTGTCGGAAACGGAACGTTATTCGGCGCAGTAACGTGTTTAATACTCGATCAAGGAACGAGAACTTTTTGTAGGCTAAAGGGTACATTATAGCAATCTTATTGGACAAGTTGAAAAATCGAAAATGTGTTTAAAAACGTGACAACAACGAAGAATTATCGTGTAATACCTGCGTACGGTATTTTAATGATAAACGGAAAGAACGTGTGTTATCAGATCAGTTGACGAACAAAAATACCGCACTAAAAAAAAATACCTACATCATGGTTCCATTAATATTATTCGGTTATATCCGATATAAAACGATAATCATATCAGGTTCATAACGTTAATAACCGTCAAACAACGTTATTTCCTGCGTTTGACGTTACCGCAACTTATTGATGATATTATAACAGTGCTTACTCGAATTGAAAAAGAGACTATGAGACTTAACTAAATAAATAACTAAACTGATATCCACTTCTCACATACGCCGCTTCTCAAACATGATACATTTTAATATCAATAATAATTGATAATTTACAAAACAAAAAAACGACACATATGAATTGGTAATTTTGTTTGAAAATGACAGAAAATCACCGCTTACCATCACATTGAGAAAATCTCTTCCGTTAAGATAACAAACAACGTTTCCAACATATCGATGCTAATTAATAGCAATATGGAATATGGAACCTAGACAGTCTCAATGACGCGTAATATTGTGGATTTGAAATCTGATGTTATTATTACCGGGATTCGATATTTATATATCATTAAAAATAATAAAAGATCCTTTAAAAACTTTTTTATAGACTAGAAATAAGTTAAATAACTTATTTATTTTTATTATTTATATAAAAAAAATAAATTTGGAAAAACTATTTTTTTTAAACTTCCAATTGAAATAAACAATGAACGAAAAATGGTTGATTTATTGAAGAACGGTGGTTTTGTTGTTTTTTTTTTTTTTTAATTCTCGTTACCAGGTTACGCATAACGGAAGAAGATTCAACAATTTATTCACGAATCGTAATTAACATTTTACTGAGCGTTTAGCGATCACTTCCATATCTTACCCCTTAATCTTTATCTATATACTACCGCGATACGGATATTTTACGGTAAATCTTTATAAAATCCAGGTACAGTAATACAGTTTGCACAAAAAAAAAAAGTACTTCATTGTACAGCGCTGCGGATATACGTTTATTATTATTATTATTATTTTATACGAGTTCTTGGCTGTTGCAGTGATCCTTTTCGCCCGACCGCGCCGAAAACCGTACCGCTGTACCTACGTAATTTATCAAAACAACGTGTCCCGTTTACGACACAATATTTTACCGCTCGCATTATTATGTGCACGGGACGCGGTCTATTTTCGAATTATTCTCGAACGTGATATTTTTCGTATTCTCCTTGGGCGTGGATGTGTGACAGACGGACATACGGACGGATTTATTTCGCGAGAATATGACAACCTGCGGATGATTTCCCTCGTTCTCCTCCCCCCAACTTTTACACGCCGATAACTATAAACGATTTAAACAAATTATTAAGTAACAATAAAATTGTCTCTTGGTATACGTCAATCGCCGTAGTCTTCAAATCAACTCTAAAGGACCTGTCTATTGATATCGTCGTCAGGGTCAGGAAACCAAGATTTACCGATTCACTGTAATTTCAATCAATATGACGCACAATTTTACTGTTCTGCGATTTATACCGAATTTTATGTGTTCTATTTTAGATTTTGATTCTAATTTATCTTATTGGTTTCGCGATGATGTTTTTTTTTTTTTTTTGTAAATAACTTTTTTACTAGAAATCTTGCTCCGATTTTCAAGTGTAGCACTTTTTTCAGAAAGGGAATTCGTGTGGGTTGATACTCTATGGAGGTCATTTATTTTTTGAATTTCCCAGGAGTTTTTAAAATTATTTTAACTTTATTTTGTAACATATTAAAATAATAATAAAAAAAAAAAATGGCTCCCAAATTTGCAAGTTTTGAGTTTTTATTTTTTTACATGATTCAAACATAATTCAAGTTTGTTGAAAATTGTTATATTCTTTTTTAGTTGGTAGTGGTATTAGAAATACGTTTCCCTACCTGACATCTTCACAAGAAAAACCGATTTTCCGGCATTCCAGTGTGGTTAAAATATAATGTTTTTTTGCGGTTACAATTTGGTATATAATAAATAATATAATATCAGCCGGTTTTTAAGTAGACATTTTTAGTATGGTGGCGCCAGGGTGACGAAACTAGGGGGAGGAATTGACATTTGAACATTGTAAAATTACTAAAATACAGTAAACACTATTAATATAATATCCATTTAAAATATGTAAGTATTCGATTATTTTTTCAGTATTCGAATTGTTACGAATTAATTCATATTATATAACTCTACAAGGCAAATACTTTACATATAGTTACGTAGGTAACTAACTATACCTACGACGTGTTTTTGTTAAAATAAAAAATGACGTATAGTGTACGACGGGCGCGTTACAGATATTTTGCGAACGCGGCAAAATATGTCAGCCCGACTAATAACGGTTTTATAATTTTTATTTTCCTTTTTTTTTCAATACGTAAAAGTTGAAATTGTCGCTCGGTAAAACGACTCATCGTGTAACGCGTGTGTTAAATAATGAGTTCGCTCTCCCGACTACCTCCAAAAAACCCGAGTCATTTATCAACGGGCTTATCCGGCGGCAACTCGACATTTCCTCGTCGTAGCCACCGCACTAGCTGCCTTATATTTTCAGTATATTATTATTATTCTAAAAAATATCGTTTTCGCGTTTTGCTATGTAATATTACATTATGCATTAATAATACAAGTAGGTACCGGTATGATTTATGTAGGTACCTATACTACCGCGAGCAGATATCGGTATATCGCGATTTTTCAAAGAGGTTTTCTGTGTTCACATGAACACGCAGTAAAGTCAATTGGACATCCAGTAGATTACTTTTTGTAATGTGCGTCCACTGTAAAATAAATTTTACATGATTGAATTGATAGATTTCGTAACAAAATTTTATATATTTTAAACAAATTGACTTTATTGAAATATAATTATAGTAGTATGTAATATAAATCATTTTCATCATGGACAATATAACGTTAGGCAACCTGGTTTTAAATTAGACAAGACAAATTTTATTATCCAGCGATAATATTATACATAGGCGGTGCGTGTGACCAATATTTGGACGTTTTTAGTCAGTTTAATTTATTTGAAGAGCATTTTTTAAATATTTTTAGAGTATTTAAATCCAAGCCCTACGCTCATGAGTCATTGTCAACGAACATCCTGGTCATTTTCCGTATAGTGTGATTACAGTGCTAGATACAAGATACACACATAACCACGGTGAATAGCACTTGTTCAAAAAATTATATTTCAGAAACATGACCGGTCGTATTTCCGACGGTCACGTACCTAAGACTACACATGAAATAAAATCTTACCTTATGCGGTTTTGTGCAACACGTCGGAGTTTATTTTCGATTTATTTTCTCATTTCGCTTCGCTTCGTCTGGGATCGGGAGCAATTTTACAATTAAATGTATAATACTATAATACGACTGAGTAAAATATAGGACTTAGTAAAATATTACAAATTTAATTATAGGTATAGAAATTACTATTTCAGACCGTTATTACGTGATCCTTATCGTTTCTAAACGACCGCCCTCTACCCGTCTAATTGTACGGGGAGTATTTCATACTATTTATGTCGTCTTAAAACGCGCCGTAGTTCGACAAAATCAATTTTACATGACGAGAATTACCGCGAACCCTGCACCCCGGTGATAATTTAACGTTATTATCATGTCGCAGATAGAAAACGTCGAGAAAAAGTTTACTACAGAAATATAAATACGCCGAGCAAAAAAACAAATGTATATATATATATGTATACAAATATCTACATATATTATTTCCTTAATAATATATCCATCAAGAATCCATTAGCAACTGCAGTGGCAGAACACTCGATTCTCGTATTCGTATCTCTTATTCTAAACCGTTATAATATTGTACAGCACAATATACATGTATAATAGTATATAATATATTATCACTGCGATTCGAATTCAATATGCGAATCGTATAATATTAATGCGCGTTCCTTATTATCCGTCAGGGTACCGTTTGAAATATTTAATTCAATTTCCAAGTAACGTAATGCCATGCGAAACGATTACATTTTAAAATATCCAATGTACCTATCTTGCGCCTTTAAAAATCAAGTACTTTTTTTTTTCTTTTTTTTTTACTAAAAACGTTCGTATACAAATTTATTATAAGGTCTTATTTTAAATTAAATCGGAAAATAAAATATAAGTTCACGACGATTGGCGGAAAAATTAATTATAAATCGCTCTTATTACCTTAGCCCAGAGGTTCCTAACCGGAGTGCCACGAACTTAAATTGAAGGTGTCGCGAAATTGTTTGAAATATATTTATTTTTTTAAAACGTCTTCTTGAAAATTATAGCACTGTGAGTAACAAAACAGACTATAGTACACAAAATATTGTTTATAATTAATTATATAATACATATAGTTTGTTCATAGTTATACTGCTATGTTCAATATATTTGACTTTCATACTGGTTCGAATGCTGTCAATTGCTATAGTTAATGTTCAATGTAATAATTTGTTTTGTAAAATATAATATGTGTACATACCAGATAACTACAACTTTTGTTTATACCAACGCATTTAGCTAAATAAAACCGAAGTTACAAAATATAAATTTAAATACACGATATATTATTATTGCGTATTCAGTATAGAGTGTAGGCCATAGGGTGCCTCCGGATTTTTGGAAAATAATTAAGGATGCCGAGAGTCTAAAACGGTTGGGAACCTCTGCTTTAGTCTATCATATTATTTTACGAATAACAATTAAAAAGACCGTCTTCTTATCAAAAAGTAACAATAATATTTAATTAATGTTTTATTATGAAAATATTAATTAAATTAATAAGTTTATACCGAAATTCAAAATAAATATATAATATTTTACGATATAAGTAGACGAATAAATACAATTATTTTTTATTTTACGAAATTTACTTACATAATTAAAAATCACTTAAAACTTTAAGATTTTGGAAATTTCCAGGTATTAATAAAAATGTATTTGTTAAAACGAAATAAAATATTGAACTCTGACGAAAATTATTGACATTCACTATACTCGCTCATTAGTTCCTTGAAAACTGTGTCTGATCATGTACATTAAAGTTAAATAAAGTATAAGTATAATATAAGCTAGAGAAAAATATTTTAATGAATATATTACGTCTATGATTGATAATTTTTGGATATCTTTTTTAAGTTTCATATGTGTTTTAAATAATATATATGAATCAATGCATTTTTGGTTGTGGTTTATAAATCTTAACAATTATTCAATCGATTTGTTTGTATTAGTTCCAGGGGTATTTAGAGAGCGATCTGAATGGGTAATTCAACCCCTAAAGCGGGACTTGTAGTATGTTTGTATAATTTGTTTATCGGATCATTAATTTTGTAAACTGAAAATTACAATGCATCTTAATAGGTCAAGGCAGAAATAGCGAAATAATTGCGAATGTAAAAAACGCGCATTGATAACAACGAAAATAAAAATAGCGAACATTAAAATATGCAATTTTTATTCCACATTTTTTTTTTCGTTTACCTACACTATTTTTGGCGTAATCTACGTATACTCATGGAAGTATCGAGTCGTCGCCAATGTGCTATCTT